ACTGTGCCAGCAGGTCTCAGTCACCCAGAAGACAGAAGCCCAGCAAACCCTGAAGCACTCGAGGAGAGAAGTCCCCTTTCATGCTGTCCACAACCTTTAACAGAAGTCCGGGCAGATCAAAGGGTACCACCTGCCCTGTGCATACATCCAGCTAGTCTGGAGGAGCACAATCCCAGCAACAACTCCTAGGTGCAGTTAAATTATGCCCACTGAAATGATCATGCAATAACCTCTAATAAAGAGAAAGAGGGACAGGCACTGCTGTATTATAGACAGCACAACCCTGGCATTCGGAGGGACCATGCAAAGATGCACACAGCTCACAGGGCTCTGTCTGAGCACACAAAAGACGCACACAAAGCACTCTGATTCATGCTGGATGCATACGGACACACACAAGCAACCGAGTGAAAAGCCTTCTCTTACACTGTTTCCAAACAATCTCAATACAACTCACACGTCAGCTGGGACACCGGACACTTGGTACTTACAAGAGGGTTTGCTGTGTCTGTCTGCTGCCGGAGTCAGGATGGGGTGTATGCAACTCAGAGGGAAGGTGCATGGAGATGTGCAGAGAGGCTCTCCTGCCAGCCAGGCCTGGACGGATGGGAAGAAGGGCCCCAGCCCCTCTTTGGGCCCCAGAGGCAGCAACACTTGTTCACAGGATGGAGCGCAAAAAGGCTGGCATTCCTACAGCAGCAAGGACAATGGGGAGGGATGAGGAGGCGCTGCCATAATCAAATGCAGGCCAGCTGGCCCTCCCCCAGGAAGGGCAGGCACCTCCTTCACTTGCCAAAGGCTTTGTTTTCTAAGCCACGAAGAACAAAGTGGCTGAGGAGGAGAGGGAGAGGAGGAGGGGAGTGGAGGAGAACCCGCAGTGGGGGCAGATCCACACGTGAATGCAGGTAACCCACTCGGCGAGAGATGTCAGAGATGGAGAGGGGTTGGGCAACACTCTGCCTGCTCCAAGCAGAGCTCAGAAGCAACAGCTCCTTGCACACAGCAGAAAGAAACCAGGGATGACTGGAGATCACTACCGAGGAATCAGAATCAGCACAGAATGACAGCCAGGGGTCCTTTGAGAGAAGGGATCCAAGGGTGGCAAGCCAGAGAATACCACTGAAGGAACAGCTCATGGAGCAGAGCCCCAAGAAATCCCAACAAGGGAAACGCTACTATTTCTTGACCATCCTCACCCCAAAAATCCTGAGCACTGGGCCTCCAAATAGCTTCCCTCGGAAAGTAAATGCAAGGCAAGGCCCCAAGCTGCAAGAGGCTCCCAGGCCATGGCAGTACTTTCCCTGAGCACCAAAAGAGGCAGCATCTTACACAACATCCTGACAAGCAGGAAAAAGACCCTGGAGCTGCCTCAGGCCCTCCTGTAATGATACAGGCAGTTCAGCTGTGAGGCTCTGGGCACCACACCACCACACAGCTGCAGGGTATGCAGGTGTTGAGCCGGTGTGATGGGACTCTGCCCTTTCCGGTTGGGTCAGCACTTTCTTCCAACAGAGTGACTTTTGCCAGCAAGTGCACCTTCACTACCGACCTTCTGCAGGACTGGTTGTCATCCCAGGGCTGGCAGAGACTGTGCTGTGTGCTCTGACTCATTAGACACGCCACTGCGAGTTAGGTAGCTGTGGTCCTGACAGAGCACACAGCTCTCACATGGGCCATTTCAAGCCTGCAGTCCAGGCAGCTGGGCACTTTGCTTACAGTAAAGTCAAGCATATGCAGAGAGTTGGGATATAGGAGTAACCTGGGAAATAATTTCACCCAAAGCAAGCTTGAGAAAGGAAAAAATGTGAAGGCTAACAAGGTAAACAAGGAGAGGGAGACTTGCTCTAGCTCCTCCTGGTAATGATGGTGTGCCTATGGCAGTGTTACTGTGAAGCCAGGATAGGCAGTGGAAGAGAAGGGTACTGGGGTCCGCCCTTGCAGGCACCCCAGAACAAAGCAGACATCAGTGCTTTCAGTACAACATACACACCCTTGCTTGCTCAGCTTCCCAGTTCTTCCCCAAAGTACTGTGTGGTGTCAGATCCCAACAGAATCTTGGAACTGAGTAAACAAGGGACAGCGGCCAGACCAGGCTTGAAGCCACAGGAAGATGTCAGGTCCCTGAGTATGCCCGTGCCGAGTTTGTGGTACTGAAAAACAATCCTCTGCCCGCAGTCAGAGATGGGGAAGGCAGCTTCCCTCACTGCTCCTCCTGCCTCAGCCCAACCATCATCCAGCCCTTGTCAGGCACCAAGAGTTCATGCCACAAAGGAAGTGGGGACAAATGGAAACATCCAGCTTGGCACTGGTCATGGCTTTGGGGAGGGAACCCTGCCAGCCCATGCGCAAGCTCCATGTGGTCTGGCCCAGCTCAGCCTGCCTCATCGCAGGGAGCTCTGACAGGCTATCAGGAACTGCCAAGCAGTGAAAAACACAGTACAGCGTCTTGACAGACTATATGGGGTTGTGCTGTCCTGTCCCATGGCCTGTCCAGCAGCTACAGGCAGCACCCTGTGAAACACTTGCCCACCACATGCATAAGGGCCAGCAGAACGGAACCTCCCATTCCTAGCAGGCAGCAAGATACGCAAGAGATGAATACCATGATCCCCATGACGGGCGCTCCACTCCCTTGGCACATGCTGAGATGTTTGGAGAGATCTGAGCTTGCCAGCTCATTACTACAGCATACATTGCTTATGCGTCCTCAGGCTTCTTCCCCAAATCCTGGGGTCTGGCATGCTGCAGGCTCTTTACGAGAAGGAAAATCAAGGACATTGCTTAGTGTAGACTCCTGCTGTTGATATCCCCTCAGATATTAGGAAAGAGAGAAAAGGGTTAGGCAGGCACTGACAAGATCACTGCAGGAAGGCCAAAGCAGCTCAGCATCAGAAGAGAGTGACATCAGTTTAGATAAAATCTTCTGCTTTCCCCCCACCTCCCAGACCACACCACTGACTTTGCTTTGGGAAGGCAGAAAGCGTTCTGGAGATCGAAATCAAAATAGTCAGCACTGAAACAACTTTTATGCTGCGCAGCGATTTCTGCACACATCCTACAGCTTCAGGATGTATCCCCCTCCACACCCCTGGTTTCAGTTGGCCAGCAGTTCACAATACACACGTGTTAATATTTACACCACCAGCATTGTTTATAGTTCTACTGAAACCAGTGAGATCAAAATCCTCCTCCCTCACTAAGCAAGATACCTCTCCTCCACACCAAAGTAGTGTGCAAACACTGTGCCACTATAATTCAGTTTTCACTGGGGCTGTGCAGCATGGAAGGCATGACCAAGAGGGATGCTGCTGCCAAGGACTATCCCCCAGTTGTCATCCACCAAAAAGAAGCTCTATGAGCAGCGCTGTGACACCCTAAGAAAAGAAACGGTCCATCTTTGGGGTCTGTGTAACATTTATGTCCCTGGGAATGCCCCAGGTTTTGAAAGGCTTTGAAGCTGTGGAAGAACACTCACTGCCGTTGAGTCGTATCTGACTACCCTGGCAGCCCAAGAGCTACTACTCTACCTGAACAGAGAATGGAGAAGCCATCAGGTGCTACAACCCACATCTGTGTTCCAGAGATTTCCAACTTTGGCTGGGTGGGTTCATACAGGACCAATACTTGGCTTGGCCACAGAATTGCCAAGCAAGGTGTGCCTCAGTTTATCAGAAGAAACAAGACAAAAGCCATCTTTACCAGGATCCTTCCCAGGATCCCCCATGATGGCAAGTGGTGTTCAGGGACTAGAGCAGCCCCTGAATGTCTGTGCTCAGTGAGTGAGCAGAGCACAGGTTCTTGCCATTTTCCTATGGCACAGGAGGCACTTTTCTCTCCCTTGGGTGAAAAAAAAAATAAAAATGACACATCCCCATAGCAAGAGCTTCCCCCACCTGCACAGCAAACTGCACGGATGAGCTAGAGCAGACCTGTAGAGCATCACCAAACAAACTCAGTCCTCACATGTACTGACAGCAATGTTCTGGGCTGCCTTCTCCACTTTCCTCCCTCGCACAGGATGCTTCTCAATGTTTTCATGTTTAGCTGAATCTCCTCCCCCCTCCTCTGAGCACTTTTGGCTGCCAAGGCAGCTCAGAGCCAGCAACTAAGTGGCACCTACATCTGGTGCAGCTTAACTTTTAGTGTCTATTCTTTCTGGAATTTGAGAACTTCAATACCCAATGTTTGTACAAGTGTGGAATAAATGGAGCACAGGCTCCCCGGCCTTCTGTGCTTGCCAAAGCTGTATTTTAAAATGCACTTAGAAAACCCTACTGTTTATTCATCTGCAGCTTTGGAAATCAAAGGACACCAAATCCAACTGCAGGTCTGCTGAATGGGTGCATTTGCATTAAACCAAACAAGTGAGAAGGCCAGGCACTCTGCAATCACCACATGCAACCTCTCCTCCTGCTTCCCAGGTGCCTGGGCCAACCCAGTCCCCTTGTTCCCTCAGCCACACTTCACAGCACCCCATTCTGGCGCTCCATTTCCTCACACAGGCCTCCACAAAAGAAGAGCTGGCTATATTTAAGGCTGAATAGCAGGGTGCTACTCCTCATGGGTCAACAGGCTGACTTTACCAGCATATAAGGATACAGTGTGAACAAAATGCAAGCAGCCTACCCTGGCATGGTGGCCAAGACTGGACAGAAGCAACCAATCTCTTGGCCCTTGTCATCGGAGCCTGTACTGCCATGATCCTTCTGTCCACTGCAGCCATGAGAAGGCCCTAAAAGCTACAGCTCAGACAGCAGAAGACCTTTATTCTTAACAGATGTAGACATTTTCTTGAATATACACCCATCCCTTCTGCCACATACTGACTTGAAAAAAATAACTGCAGACATGTAAGCGTGCAGGGGTTTTTGCAGGTCGTAGATCCAGCTCCCTGTTAGCACACACACTACATTTCACACCTTTAATAAACAACCAAGCTCTGGACTGAGTCTGAGCAGGCTTTTTACACACTCCTCTGTGCAGCAGATGCCTTGTCTTACCTTGTCAAAGAATTCATACAGCCTGACCGTCTCACAGATTCGGTGCCTGTTTTCATCCAGTTCAGTGCAGAACTCCTCCAGTTGATCTTTGTAGGTCTGCAGCTTTACCCTGTAAGAATGTACATCCACAGAGGAAAAGTCTTCCCATCGATCCATCTTCTTTAGTGCTTCCTGCCCTCTTTTGCAATATTCCTGCAAGCAAAACAGGATTGTGTATGAGGATGGAGACCTGACAGTAGATAGTCTTCAAGGTCATTAACAGCTAGGGCTAATTAGACTGTATTTTAACGTTCAAATCACATGAGCAGGGGTGTACTTGTTTACAGTAGAATTCTGGAGCCCTGACCTCTTTTATGATTTACGTTAGCCACACAGCAGCTTGTAAAGGCCTACACAGCAAGGCCACAGCTCAATTAGGATCAAAAAAAAAAAAAAAGGCAGTGTTACAAGCACATCAAGGGAGTAACAAAGAAATCCATCTTCCATCACAGTAGTTATTTTCCTCAAGATTGGCAAATACCATCTACTAAGGTGCTGAGCTGGCGTCTTTGTCTACATGAGGAGAGCAGGGAAGCTAAGTAGCGTGAAGGAATGACACACACCTTGGTGATGAACCCTCTACCAATGCCATCTTAGCATCATGGGTTTAGCTGAGCACATACAAGGCACACATGCTACCAACTCAGACTCTGGAGAATATATTTTTCCTGATCAGACAACACTTACACTGGCAACAAGATCAAACTCCCTGAACTGTTTTTGTGCTTGAAGCAGCATCTCCAAAGAATCATCCAGGTTGATCGTTTCCTTTAGCCGTTTTCTGCCAACATTCTCGATCCAACTGCTGACCTAGGAGAAAAGGGAAAAGCCCCACTATTAGTCACCCTGTGCTACTCACCAAGGTAGGCCTTTATGTGGAAAGAGCAAGGAACTGCTCTCACAATGCTGGTCATTTCATTACTGGAAGAATGTGCATGTACACTTCTCCCGCCATCTTGGCATTTTAGTCTGAGCCTCCTGCTAGAAGTTTTTCCACTTCAGGTTACTGAATAATTGCAAAGCTCTGCTATTACTCACTTGCCTTAGGCATAAACAGGGCGAGTAGCTGCTTGGGCTCTGTTTCAGGTGAGCCGTGGTCTAATGCGAGCTCTACAACCTGCAGGCTGGCCTGATATTCCTATTAGTGTTACCCCAAAGCGTGATAAAATTTCCCTGCTGCCAGACTTCCTACATCACTTCCCTCTTCTAACTAGCAGGACGTGAACTACGTCAGTGTGAATGTACTGACGGATTCTCCCCATCTGCAATGTTTCACGGTTCTCTGGGACTCTCAGCTACCGGCTTTCTGAAGGCAGCTTGCCATAAAGCTGTACAGTAACTGCAGGTTCCTCGACAGAGCCTAGCCACTGCCACAGTTATAAGCCTATATCCTCAAACACAGGTAGAAGACTAACAAGAGTGTCCTAAAAGCAAAGAAAACACAGGAGGCCAGGCAGGGTAACACAGCATCTCCATCAACAGTGGGTTTTAAAAACAGGCTAGCAAACTTGTCTGCAATGGTTCAGGCATAGCTACACCTGGGGAAGGGACAGACTAAATGTTTTATAATGCCCATGCATCCTGTTTTCCTGTATCATCTAAATCCATATCCCAACTCAATCCCGCAGTCAAGGGCAAACTCCTAGTCTTGTGGACTGAGAGGTGGCCTGTGCTCATGGAACAAGCCCATCAGCAAGAGGAGGAGATGGGGGTGGGTTCCCAGGTTGTGACCCATACTGCAGAGGGGCACACTGCTGCTGTCTAGAGCTCCTAAGCAGGCTTAAATGCAGGAGCAGCTGCTGCCACCATTGATGATCTGCAAGCAGAGCAAGCTGGGAGCAGTCAGTTTTGCTCAATTCAATCAAAAAAAGTTCAGCTTAAAGCAGGGATAGGTTGCAGAGCCTGCCTTTGTGCCTTTTTTCATTTCTGTTTGGTATTAGGAACCTGTGCATTTAAGTGAGTCTTTACTAGGTTCTTGCATCACACTTCTTGTCCTGAACACATAGTGCATGGCGCCCGAGTGTCTACCTCCAAATGGGAAGTCATTAAAATTCTTGGATCCACCTCGGCCTGTGAAAGCAACAGGCAGGCTACAGCCTCCTTCGCAAATCCAGTTGTCTCCAGAGGAGACAAGCCCAGAATCCTAGAAGGGCAATGGTAAAACTGGTCCTAGAACTGATCTTTAAGAATGCAGGTTCCTAAGGTGAGGTCCAAACAGTGGACAAGCCTTCACACACACAGGGTAATAAGTGATACATAAAACTTCTCATTGTTGACAAGTTACAGCAAGGAAGACTATGCAACTCCATAATCTCGAGGTTGAACTCAGGATTAAGGATCTGCAACACTGAACATCTGGGATCTGCAACACTGAAAGAACTGATGAGATCTTGTAGGACACTCAGACAGCCTGAGCTACTTTATGACATTTTAAGGTTCTCTACCTACACACCTACAGGTTTCAAAGGTCCTTCTGAAAAGCCAGTGCCTGTTTGCTTCAGTTATCCCACGGCTGTAAAGAGTTTCAATGAGCACCACATGAAGGGAAGTTTAAGCTCCCACAGAAGTGCAGGGGTGTGGGGGGGTTGAGCACAGCTCTTGGGCTAAGGACAAGAGGCTGTTCCCCTGCCTGGAGACTGTATATAGGGCTGCAGAGGCAAAAGGAGCATGCCTGGGGCTGCACCCAGAGGGGAAGGAGTGAGCTTGGGGCTTATCAGATAGCAGGGACCTGAGCACTGCACAGGCATCTAAACAGAGTGCACAGCAGGGACGGGCTGCTAGTGTGGGGTATGCAATGCATGGGTCATTCAGCAGCAGGATGTAGGCGAACCCTACAGGATGTACAGCCTAGAGGGGACACGCGGACTCTCCATCAGCTTATTGCCATTGCTTTGCTGCTTCTCAAGGTGGACCATGAAGGATGGCTCCTCAACACTCTTCCTGACCAATGTGAAAAGACACCCCACTTCCAAGTGTGCTGCTTACCAATAAGCCATTACACTGTGGCCTTTAAGTATGTAAAAACATCACAGATGTTTATGGGGTTTGACTGATCCACACCTAGAGAGCAGCCAGAATACTTTTACCTAGCATCAGGAGATAGCAGGAAAAACAGTCGCTTGGCCCTCAGCACATGTGGGGGTGGGGAGGGGGAAATCTATCTTAAATTCTTATGTTCAGTTGTTCTTTTTAAGAGTCTACAGGCATCATTCTACACCTTCACACAAGAGATCAACAGGCCCAGTACCTGCTGCGGGACACACAGTCACAGGGTGGCAGCAGGCAGTCACTGGAACCAACAGACAGGCCTTACCTCCTTAAAACACTCTTCCACTTTCTCAAACTCCATCACCAGCTCCAGCTCCTGGATGCGTTTGTTTGACAGCATCACCAGTCGGTGAACACCCTCATCAACTCGATTATAAAGCACGCTGGCAGCATCAAGTGCGTCTCTGGAAGGGGACACAAGTCTGGTCAAGGGTTTTGCATTAGGTCCTTCCCGCAGCACTTCATGCAAACATGACCTGACCTGGCTAACAGCAGCGCTTCAGTCACCCTCCCTGTGGGACCCATAATGGCCATCTCCATATGGAGAACAGAAAGAGAATAATGCTGCTCCCTGCACATTCCCATGATTCACCACTCTGATCCCAATGCAGACAACCTGGCAGGAGGGACAAGAGCATCTCCTCCCAGCCAGGCTCCTTGCAAAATTTACTGTACTTGTCACACTTTCAGACAGGATACTCAGCTTTTCATAAATGCAGATTATTGCGTTAATGGGCTTCAGAAAACACAGGCTCAGGCAGTCTCAGCATCTAAAACCACCATTTGAATTTAATTTAAATAAGTAAATAAGCAATCACTAGAAAGAAAATCACTCCTAAATGACAACACCAATGTAAAGCACCTGATGCCCCACTCACTCTCAGGAATTTCTGCCAGCCAAACAAAAATGCAAAGCATGCAGCACCCCAGAGCCAAGAGGAATTTAATTTTACAAAGACAGAGCTCCCCGTCTTCCACAGGCAGCTGTGCTGACCAAAGCCCAACTGGCAACACCATGCAGCACTCTCCTGGCCAGCCTGGCCACAATTGAAGTTAACCTCCTCAGTGCACAGGCAGGGATGGAGAGATTCAAAGTGGAGCCCAGTGCCCTTGGACGCTGGAGCCGGGACTGAACACACCCTTTAATGCTGGCACAATGACTAATGTTAGCAAGCTCCTTTCAGATGCATGCAGCACAGCTCCAGCACAGGTTCGCATGAATTATAGCCAGGATCCAGGATAGCATTCAAGAATATTCTTTCTTTGTGTCCCTAAACTTCTCATATTTCTTCTGCTTTTAGATTTCCCCTCCTTTTACAAGTATGGATTCAATGGACACCTACAACAAAATACTACAGCCTCCTTCAGCTGTGCTCTACACTGGCACATTCAGCTGCCTGACCACCTCCTGTACTCACCCTAAACCAGCTTTCATTTTGCAATTGTCTTACAACCTTCTGGCTTATGAGAGCATGGCTTTTTTATCATATTATTAAAATTATCCAAAGCACTTGTGAAACAGGTAGCTAATAAAACTCTGAAGGCTTTGCTCATGGAAATTAATACAAACAATTCAGCATACACGTTTCTTTCTTTCTTGGGTTACAGGCAATCCTGAACCTATGAAATGCAACTGAATAGGAGCATTTAGCGGCAACCATCCTGTAGTTTTTAGATAGTACTTAACTGACATGAGGTAGTGCAACAGGTCTGGACAACTAGCTCTGCATAGCAGAAATCCACAGGATTTTTCCATTCAGAATTCCACCCTGTGTGCAACAGCCAACTTCTCAAACCTCAGGCTCTCAGCTACTTTTGTTTTTCCTCTTCAAAATGCCATTAGACTGAATGAATTTCTTCAAAGTGCAGCCAAAAAAACCCTGAATTGTTTCTGGACTAAGATCAGTGCTACTGCAGTGCAGAGCAGACAGGTTCTCTACAGAGAATCTCAAGCTTCAATGGAAAGATCCAAGCTGTAACACTGCTCTCGCATTTCCCGAAACCACCATAAACAAACAGTGATGATATGAGCCTTCTGTTTTGTAATCCTTTCCTGGGGATGGACCCAGATCCAACCCAGGAGGCTCACAGCAGCAGAGCCATAACCACTGTCCAAGCTGAGCTCTGGAAAGTATGTTCACAAAGCAGGTTGTGAAGGCCAGTTCCCATCAGCAGCAATGACACAGCTAGGACAGCTAATGAGAAACAGTTTGGAAGATCACTGGAAGTGATATTCAGCAACAACATTAAAGTTGCTAGGCTTTGTGCAGCAGAGCGTATCTGTGAGGTCCTAGTTTCTGTATAAGGCTCCAGCAAAATACAATACTGATGGCCAGACAGGCAGACACCCTTCGGTCTTACTCCCACAGGCCTGAAGTCCCTGCTGGCATGAATGCTCTCATCCACTCAGGAAAGCACACCAATACACCAAATGCTCTTCCTCCCACAGGTACAGACAAGCAAGCACCTGTAACTTCAGACATTACAGGCTGTTATATGTAAACATTTGCAATTATCCTCTTGCGAGGCAAAATATTTTTCCAACCTTTCTCTGAGCTTCCATGGAAATCACTTTGGTGTTGATGCTACTTCTTTGATGGCACTCATCAACAAGCTAGATTGACCTGCTCTACCTTTCCATAATAGGAGTCCTTATGTCCACCCAAGCCCATGAGAAAGAAAGCATGCATGGTTTTGACACTTAACAAGATATTGCAAGATGGTAACCTTATTGCGTAGCAACTGGAAACAAGAGTTCCAGCTCTTGCACTGGCTGACCTAGCACAGAGTGGGGTCTGACATAGGGGAAGGGAACCAGAGAGTCCCACTCCTTTCCATACCCGATGGAGGAAACAGGACTCCAGTTATCTCAAATTTGAGCAGTTTTCCTTGACAGGAGTCAGTCACAACCTGGGCTGCAAGGCTCTAAATACTACAGATTCCCACACAGCAGACAGCGCATTTCCCAGAGTCACAAAACATAGGCTTTCCTGAAGACAACAATGCAACTATGGGAAAAATCACCCTCAAGGTAGAGGGATGGGGAGTGATTACAAAACAAACATGTGTTAAGTATTTTTTTATAAACAGAAATTGCAAGCTCACTGTGTGAAGAGATAAATTCGCCATGCCATCACAGACAAGACCAGCCTCTTGAAGCACACTTGAGATCAGTATTGGCCTTATGACTAACAAACCACGCCAGGGAAAGTGAGGGTCAAAAATCCAGCAATAAAATACTACTTCTGGCCCACACACCAAGCCCCGCGGAGCCCAATTCAGGAGAAAAGGGGCTCAGGCAAACTGCTTGCTGCTGAGCTGAAAGACTGAGAAAAAAATCACCCCAAACACTGCTCTTCTGGCCCCACACATATTCCTTCCACAGAAGGAATTATCCCAGATTATTGGCAATAATAGAAAAATAGAGCGCCAGACTCTGAAGATCTCAGTAAGACCAAGCCTTCCTTGCATTTGTAGAAAGTGGTAGGGAAGAACCAAGCTAGAGCCTCCAGTTTAGAAGTGAGCACTCAGCCTTCTGAGCCATCCAATGCAATCCATGTCCTGGCAAATAATGTGACAGCTACACACATCTACACATAATCAGTCATACTCCCTCTATCTCAGCTGATTCAATGGTACTAAAGGTGACACCTGTTACTGAAAACACACATGGAAAAACCTTTGCTTTACTGATCCACAGGCATCTCAAACTTTGTGTCGTGGTTTAACCCCAACCAGCAACTAAGCACCACGCAGCCGCTCACTCACTCCCCCCTCACCCAGTGGGATGGGGGAGAAAATTGGGAAAAGAAGTAAAACTCGTGGGTTGAGATAAGAACAGTTTAATAGAACAGCAAAGAAGAAACTAATAATGATAACAGTAACACTAATAAAATGACAACAGCAATAATAAAAGGATTGGAATGTACAAATGATGCGCAGTGCAATTGCTCACCACCTGCCGATCGACACCCAGCTAGTCCTTGAGCCACGATCCCCCACCCCCATTCCCCCCAGTTTGTACACTACATGTGGCATCACACAGTATGGAATACCCTGTTGGCCAGTTTGGGTCAGCTGCCCTGGCTGTGTCCTGTGCCAACTTCTTGTGCCCCTCCAGCTTTCTCGCTGGCTGGACATGAGAAGCTGAAAAATCCTTGACTTTAGTCTAAACACTACTTAGCAACAACTGAAAACATCAGTGTTATCAACATTCTTTGCATACTGAACTCAAAACATAGCACCATACCAGCTACTAGCAAGACAATTAACTCTATCCCAGCTGAAACCAGGACACTTAGCTAGAGTCAGTCTAGGATGCATTTGGGACTTTATACTATAAGCAGGGACTGGACAGAGAATTCATTTCAGGTAAGAGGGCTGGAAATTAGCTCTTGTTTTTATCTGTAAGTTGGGTTGTTTAGGGTATATATCATTATCTAAAATCCCTTACTCTTGTCATTTAAGTAATTTTGTTTTCTGTGAATGCTTGTAGCAGGCTATTGATACACTTATCAGGGCACAACCTGACACCCTAAGGCTGCCCCTTTTCCTGGTCCTGCCAATGGTTTGCTGAGTTACTGCACACAAGCCACCCAGGGGGAAAAAAAAAAAAAAAAAAAAAGTTTCCAAACAGCTCCTCCTGGCTCAGAGTCCCAGACGGACTTCAGGTGTGGCCTTACACCATCCCTCCTCCTCCTCCACCAAGTTCCTCCAGCATCCCAGCACCTCAGTCCTTTGTTTCAAGGCCCAGCCATGCTGTTTTCACACGTTCTGCCTCGCTTGGCAGGCATTCATTAAAACCTCAACATCTAGTTGTTGGTCTTCATTGCATCTCCAAGGTAACTCCATTCATATGTTGTCAGCTCCTGACAGTTCACTTTTACCAGCCTGACAGGCTCTCTGACTAACATCCATCTTTTACTTATTTACACAGAGGAAAATATAACCCTTTCCACCCTTAAGTATAAAGTAGGTAGGCAAACTGAGCCAAAGAAATCACTCTCAGTCCATGGGAAAGTTTGTTTTTTCGATTCACTTGGGCACTTCCAATGCTCACAGAAAGTATACATTGGGCATTATGTGTGTTATCCCAAGTCTCCATACATGTTTACCTATCTACACAGGCCCACCCATTTGCCAATTCATATCTTAAAAACTTCTTCCTAAATCATTTCTAGTATACTAGTAAACTCAATGATATCCTGCAACAGGTAGTTTCATGGGAAAATGATACCTTGTATAAACACCTATTTCTTTTTCAGAGTCAGACTCAGAAGGTTTTCATTCCTGTCCTTCATTGCTTTCAAGACAGCCTGGAGTAAACAAAGCAAATATTGTAAATTTGGTTGAAGAAGAAAAAGTGACTTTCATCCTGCCACACAAAAGGAAACACCTGGTTGCT